AATGGAAGAAAATAGATGTCCATGAGCACACTGGTGATGTACCATGGAAGCCATGCCCACTGCCAGAAGCCCCCCAGGAGCCTCAGGCTCAGGAAAACAGATGTGAACACTTCTCCAGCAACTGCATGCAAAGAAGAGAACATGCAGTTGGTCTGGCAGGGTTAACCCCATGTGGCTCCAACAGGATGTATGTTTCAACATGGCTGAGGCCTGGGGGTGTTTTGACAGAAGGAGCTAAAGATTTTCCAGTCCATCTGGTCTGCAAGCTCAGGGCTAGGATACTGTGTCTGAAGAACAGCTCTCTCTCCTCTTTGCTTGCTCTACAATAAGGTAAAAAATGTAGCTGTGGATGCTTGATGGCCACCTTGATAAAGAGCTGTTCAAGCTAGAAGGGTCTGGCACCTTAGGTTATTCTAAGCAGCATTTGGGGATATCTCCAATTATGAAGTTTCAGCAAGGTCAACTCAGCCTAAGCTACCCAACAACTCATTTTTCATTAAAGGGGAGCTTCCAGAAAAACTAGAGCTCCATCAGATTGTTTAAATATTCACATTAAATCCACTACAGTGACATCTTTCTGGAGTAGTTTATAGAGCTGTTTTGATAGCTGGGATAAGCAGGACACAGAGGAACAAACCAATAAAACACAGATGAGAGGATGGGAGATGCATTTGTGCCACACTGTTGCATAAATGTCAGGGGAAGGAGGTTCACTCCTGGGTAACAAATACCAGAGTAAGGTTTTAAAAATTAATTATGAAAAGCATTGTTTCCACTTTCAAATCCAGCTAAACCAAAACTTTGCCAATTCCTGAGGCCTGCATTGATCAAGTGCTCATTGCAGTTTGTGAAGGAGATGACATCAGGTGTTTTCCACACATCTAGAGAGGATGAGGTGAGCCAGCCCCATTTCTTTTGGAATCTGGGGATAGAGGAGAGGAGAGGGAATATTATTCAGTTGGAATCCAAATGCTTGACCACTACAAGGCTGACCAAAAGCTAAGTATGTTATTAAAGGCATTGTTCAAATGCCTCTGGAACACTGGCAGGCTTAGGGTATTGACCACCTTCCTAGGAAGTCTGTTGCAGTGTTAGACCAGCTTCTCAGTAAATAAATGCTTCCTAATGTCCAGTCTGAACCTTCTTTGGCACAGCTTTGAAGGTTTAGGTCTTTTCAACCCTGACTGCACAACAGACTTCATCTCCAGAGCAGCTCAGCTCCTTGTAAATATCTCTTTCTGTTTAGGGACATAATAACAATAACAGCAGGTGTCACTTTATTTTGCTGTGTTTCCTCTAAAAAGACAACCAAGTTCCCTTGGGCAACATGAAAATTCACTCCCTTCTTCACAGCCTCTGACACTCCACAGGCAGCTGTGCTGGGATTGTTGCAACGTGGCCTCAGGTATTTAGAAGAAATCTCTGATTTTAGCCTGCAACACAGCCTGTTTCAGGAGGTGATATTGACACTCCCTATCCCAGTGCTGCAGATATTGATGCACAGATCTCTGCTGGGACTGCAGCACCACATCCCTGGTATCCTAAATGGGATGGCAGACAAGATACACAGAAAAGTTGTGGAGGGACTTTCTATAAGGGCCTGTAGCAATAGGACAGGGGGTAATAAAGCCATTTAAATGGCTTTAAACTGCAGGAGATTAGAACAGAAGCTGTAGTTAGAATACAAAAGATATCTTAACAATAAAATGTACTACTTAGAGTTAGATCAAACAATAAAGGTTAACAACTATTATGTCGGCAACTTACTTATTACCAAGTCTTATACTAGGCCTAGAACATCAATTATCAATTTTAAAGGATTCTATAATCCTAAAATTTAATGATGAAAATTACTTAACATTAAATATGCCAATGAAGAGAATAAAGGAGTTAATATCTCTCACCTTTGCCGGGTCCCAGCTGGGTGTTCCTGGGTGGGTCTCAATTCTCAAGAATTAGTCTCTCTGGGGGCATCTCTGCTGGAGAGGAGAAGGTCCAGCAACTTCCTGGGAAAGTGTATGGGAAGTCCACCCATTAAATATGGGATCAGGCTTTTTGTAGAAAGTGGATTTATTGCTGTTTAACTATTTAGCCATAGCTCCAACATCTCTTATTGGAGAATAAAAGGGAAATAGTAGAAAACCTATGAAGAACAGAAGAAAAAACATGACTTTATCTCTATTTCAGGCCTAGTTGTGGCTGGGTTGGGCTCTGTGTTCTTCAACACCAGAGAGCAGCTGGTGTTACGAATGTCAACTTGGCCTCTGTTTGTACATTTCAAAGTTGTTACCAGCTCAGAGTTTGCTAGGTCTTTCCCTTTCTCATGGGAATCTTTCCACTCCAGGCCTGGGCCTGCAAAACTGAGAGACATAAAGCAGTTGAATCATAGAGGGAAACTGAGGCAGGCATATTGAGAGATGGAGTGTCCTGCTACACCTGGCCTCATGGGGACATGAGCAGGTTAAGTCCAGACAGCATGGGTTAGATGCAAGTAAGTAGGTCAGCTCAAGCCAAGAAGCAGCCTGCCCATGTTCACACAACTCAGAGCCCTGCTCCAATCCTTGCAACGGGTTCTGGGGTTTCTTAATTCACACTCAGTGCCATATAAAACCAGATGTGCCCTAGACCTCAAGTAGCTATCTGTGAACTTGTTCTGAGCCAACTCCAGTACAGCCTGTTGGGCATCTCCACATCAAAAAAGCCCTCCCCTATGTGGCCAAAAGCAACATCTTGCTTTCATGCTTACAATAAAGTTGAGCTAAAGCACAGAAAATGGGAAATAAAATGGCTCAGATTCACAAAGATTGGGTGGTGCAAAACACAAGGCAAAGCTACTTCATCCCAGGATAATCCCTAACGATCAGGGTTTTTTTCCTCTAATTAATAGAACAATCATTTGGTGAAATCTTTAGGAAGGAAGAGTATTTCTACGTAGGTCCATCAGTGATACTGGTGACCTGAGAGAGAATAAATTGTCTATATTGGTACATCTGCAAGGACACACACATCAGGGGAGGAAGACAGGTCACTGAAACACCCATGCCAAGAGAGATTTGGGTTTGAAATAGGCTGGAGTTAAGAACATGTCCAACTGGACTGAGCCCAACCTCTCAGTGCAGTGCTGTGGCCACAAGGCCTAACTCAGTACTGGCTATAAGCACAGCTGAAGGCTGCAAGCCTTTGTTATCTCCATGTTTGGGATGACTGGGAGCACCACTGACCTGGGCTCACTCCTGAAAGTAACACTTCAAGACAGATATTGAACTAAAGGCAGAAACCTCCCAGACAGTAACGCGAAGGATGATTTCTAATGGAAGACCCTGGCCCCATCCTACTTCCATAGAGGAGAGGGGATCAGTCTAAGAACTGTTTTCGACCTGCCTGGGTTTTTTTCCCAAGGAAACTCAGATGCTCAGACAGGGAACTGAGTCACAGCTGGAAACACAACTATAGTGTGCTCCATGGGACACCCCTGCTCCCCCAGGGTAAATTTGGCTAAAACTTCTTATCAAAAAGAAATCAGAGTGACGTGAGGAAGACACACCCTAAGTAATAGGGGACTGTAAGTCAAGCTGGGTGAGCAGTCACAAATACATTTTGTACAGTAGTAGCAAGAAACCACAAGTGAGCTTTCCCAGGACCTGACAGGAGGAATGAGAAATATGCTCAACATAAACAGAACTAATTCAGAGAAGTCCCAAACTCTGTTCAATCTTTGCCAGATCACCTGAACACAATGATGCCTTTAATTTATGAATCTCACCATAAACAAGTGTTTTACAGAAGTGATTAACTCATGTGTCTGTAGAGTGATCCATATTTTCACAGATTTCGTTATATAGATAAGAAAAACAGGAAGGCAGCCAATCCTCTCCTACATCTGAACCTGCTCAGCAAAGAAATTGAAGCTGAGTCCTTTAAACTCTACTTCAAACTCGAGGAAGCTGTCCCTGAAAATACAGTAACAGCCCTTCCTCGTCCCTGCTAAGATAGTCATACAGCACAAGTTATTGGAATTACCCGTATATGCTCTGTTACTCACCCCCCTGATATATAATTTTCTACCTTTCTACTGGTGCTTAGGCAGCGACAACTAAGAAGGTAATAAAATCTTGGTAAGGGATCTTTGTTTCAAGGGATGCGATCAGTGTTGGTGGAAATCTTTGTATTTTGAGGGTCAGAGTGCCCTCTTCTGTCCCATCTGAATCCTGACTGTTAACTCCTGTGTTAGATCAGCAGATTGACGAGGAACATTGTGATTTATATTCTGCACACCCTGCTCTCTTCTAAAGAACATTTAAGAAGCCAAACAGCTGATGACAAAATAGACAATAACTCTCATCAATGTAGGGGCTCAGACAGGCTACAAAATCAGCTGCCACCTGTAAAGGGCTGGCTCAACATCAGAGGCAAGATGATTGATCTAATTAGTTGATGAGGTCAGGCACATTTTGAAGTGAATCTCTGTGAAGTTTCAACAATGGGGAGTTATTTGTAGGTTTTCACTCTGCATTTAAACTTCTCCCTCCTGCCTGCATAGCCACTAATTGAATCCAGACTGCTACTGACACCTGAGGAAACCTGACTGAAACAAACATATTAAAAGTAACTCAGTAATACCAATGTATATAATAATTTCTAAACTAACTATGCTGAAGTCAGAGGACTGCAGGTTATCTGAATTAGTCAGAGCTAACAGTGGCCCAGGAAAATGTATCAGCTGAGCCTTTTTACAATGAAAATACATTTGAGCATGTTTCTGGAAACCCTATAAGCACTTTTTGTGCTTAATAAACTGTGGTGGGTCCCCTCAGTGTCCCAAGGAGCTGCTACAACTGTGTCCCCGCTGCTGCTGCTGAGCCCAGGGACACACTGGGAGCTCTGGCTGTGCGACCCGAGGCCTGAGCACCTTCCCCTCTCCCCTCCCACAGCCGCCTTAGGCCCAGAGGTGCCTTCTGCTCCTGCTGGGTCACAGACTCGTAGAACAGGAGCACAGCACCATGGCATCATTTGGGCTGGGAAAGACACGTAAGACCGAGCCCAACCCTTTGCCCAGCACTGAACAGGCCGCTGCTAAAACCACATCCCCAGGCACCACATCCACGCGTCATTTCCGTCCCTCCAGCTGTGCTGACCCCACTGCTGCCCTGGGAAGTCTGTCCCAGCGCTTCAGAGCTCTGCCGGCGAGGAAATCTTTCCCAATATCCCACCCAAACCTGCCCCGGTGCCACCTGACGCGGGGTCATCAAGGCTGAGCAGCCCCCTCCTCAGCTGCTCCTCCCCAGACCGTGCCCCAGCCCCCTCCCCAG